TATTTTACTAAAGGAGTTTCTCCTCCATACTCATTTAATAGACCAATGCACCAAAACATATCACGAGCAATAACAAGGCAAAAGTAAGTAAAAAGTAAAGGAAAGAAATAATCTATGAGTTAAGGAGGTTTTTGATTCTCATGGTAAAGCTTTAATAGATGGCCATTGACTTTAAGTTGGGCTCCAGTCTCTTCATGTAGAAGCTCCACCATGCCAGAGTTATGCACCTTTGTGACTGTGTATGGTCCGTCCCAACGGGTATTGAATTTTCCTTATTTGCATGTGAAGCAGGCCTTATACGATAGTACTCTGTCTCATTTAAAGTGCTTTCTTAGAATTCCTCTGTCATGCATAAACCTTGTCTTCTCCTTATAAAGTCTGGAGTTTTTATAAGCCTCTAGTCTCAGCTCCTTTAATTCTTGCAATTGCAGTTCCTCTCCATTTCAAAAAACTCTATATTCATGTTACACTACTTAACTACCCATTATGCTTTGTGTTCTAACTCCATTGGCAGGTGGCAACTTTACTAAAGACCAAGCTGTAAGGAGACATGCCAATCGATGACTTGTATATAGTCCTATAGGCTCACAGAGCCTCTTCCAAACATAAGCTCTAATCCTTCCTAGAAGGCTTTATTATCTTTTCCAGAATATGCTTCACTTCTCTATTTGAAACTTCAACTTGACTATTGGTTTGGAGGTAATAGGTAGTAGAGACTTTGTGAGTGACACCAAATTTTGAAAATAGGTTATCAACAATCCTATTATAAAAATATGTACCCTTATCACTCACTACAACTTTAGGGATCCCATGCCTACAAAAAGTGTTTAATTTAAGAAATGTAGACACAGCTTGGGCATCATCCTTTCTAGTAGGTATAGCCTCTATCCATTTGGACACATAATCTACAGCCAACAGAATATAATACAAAGCCAAAGGATAAAGGAAAGGGTCTTATGAAATCTATACCCCAAATATAAAGATTTCACAAAACAGTAAAGGCTGTTGAGGCATCTCATGCTTTTTACCTAACCCTCTAAAACCTTGACATTTGTCACATGATTGATAAAATGCAAAAGAATCTTTAAAAAGGGTTAGCCAATAAAAATTGAAATCTAAGATTTTCCTAGATGTTCTTCTTGCACTAAAATGACCTCCATAAACCATGGAATGACAAGCTGAAATGATAGGCTCAAAATCTTCACTTGGCATATACTTCCTAATAACTTGGTCACTACACATCCACCATAGATGAGGGGCATCCCATATGTAGTGTTTTGATTTGCTCTGAAGCTTTTGTGCTTGAGGTTTAGACATAAAAGGAGGGGTGAGTCCAGCCATGAGATAATTTATAATATATGCATACCAAGATTCTTTAACAACTAAAGCACATAAAGCTGTATCAGGAAAAGAATCACAAGTGAGGTTAGAAGAGTCCATTCCCCTTATGTCTTCTGGTAGCCTACTCAAATGATTGGCTATTTGATTTACTGTCCTGGCTCGATCTTTTATCTCAATATCGAACTCTTGAAGTAGTAAGGCCCACCTTATCAATCTTTACTTGGATTGTGGCCTTTTGAGTAGATAGCAGACAACTATATGGTCTGTAGAAACAACTACACGAGAATTTATTAGATATTGTCTAAACTTATCTAAAGCAAAAACAATGCCAAACATTTCTTTCTCTGTGGTGGTGTAATTGACTTGAGCTGGGTCAAGTGTCTTAGAGGCATAAGCTATGACTCTGGATTGTTTCTCCTCCTTCTGTCCAAGCATGGCACCTACTGTGAAATTAGAAGCATCACAAGATAATTCAAAATGTAAATTCCAGTTAGGTACAATGAGAATGGGAGGTGAAACAAGCATAGATTTTAGAGTGTCAAAGACATGTCTATATTTTTCATCAAAGTTAAATTCTACATCTTTTTTCAACAAAGTAGAAAGGGATAGGGCTACTTTACTAAAATGGCTAATAAAGCATCAATAGAACCCTGCATGCCCTAAGAAGGAACTCAAATCTTTTAGGCAAATGGGGTAGGGGAGTGATGAGATAACTTCCATCTTTGTACTATAGGGTGCAACCCGAGGTCATTTCACTTAATCAGAGTCTGAGGAAATAGATCTAAACTAACTTAAATGCCATGCATTACAAACAAAACAGGAAAACAAGGGTTTAGGCTTTTGAAAACATTAAGTGAATTAAACTGAATGGTAAAAATATTTTTGGATTTTAAGGATATGAAAAACAAAATGTTGAAAACAGGTGATTAAACAATGACATAATCCTCTTGAAAGTGTGCTCTGGCTATCATTGTCATGTCCGGCAATAGGGTAATTAGAAATAATGAATATTCCTAAATAATTAAGGGTAAAAATGATGACAACAGAGGAATTTTGATAGAAAATAATTATTATGACTTTCCAAGCCAATTATGAAATTTTGGCTAACTAAGGAAAATTGGTTAAAAAATAATTATGGGAAAAATATTTTCAAATCTTGAAAAATTAAGGAAAGAATAGGATAATATCCTTTGAGAATTATATGGGATTATAAAATTGGTTTCATGACCAAATTACCCTTAGAGAAATTACAAAGGAATTTAAGGGTGATTTAGGCTAATTTAAGGCCTTTTATTTGGAAAATTCCAAATAAATATTTACAAGGAGAATAAAATCCCAAGAAAATTTTTATGATGTTCCAAGGAATTATAAAAAACTATGGAATTAAAAAGACACCCTCAGATATCCAAGAGTTTTCCTAATTATTTGGAAAAGTGAAAAAATCAATAATGAGAAGGAATATAGTTTTCCTTTTTATTTAATTAATGAAAAATTGAGTTTAAGATAAAGAGGGCTTTTTGGGAAGAGAAAAATGAAGAGAATAATTTATGGATCTAACAGAAAATAATTACAGAGGCTAGAGTACTGTAATTATAGAAAAGACATTAAACTCGGAGTAAAAGTGCACCAATAAAGTGAAGACTAGAGTCTTGCACTTTACTTGGCCCACAAATTGCCATTTGTCAAGCCTCTAGTGAATGGTAATTAAAGCTTTCCAAGTGTCAAGCATTAAGTGGAGAGGATCTTGAGCATAATAGTCACAACATAGCAAAATATTATCCTTTCCCTCCAAATCCTCCTAATTTTGAAAGGGAGGTTGAGGAGGGGAGGGGAGGGAAATTTTTTTAAAATTTTCCCTCCCTTTCTAAAATTGTGTGTTGCCAACAAGAAAAATAATTAAATTCCTTCCCCTTCCCTCCAAATCTCTCGTACCAAACACATTCTAAATGTCATAATCAGAAATCTATTCACAAACACGTAAGATCCAATTTATTGCATACCCTACATTTGTTTCCTTCAGAAATCAGAATTATTCCAAGAATTATTCAAAAGAATCAAACCACTTGTCCTCAAGGGAGGCACTTTTCCTATTGACGATGTGTTTATATTTTTTTATGAGAAATATGTGTTTATATTTTAACTATCACGCACAAAAAAAGAAGAACTTAACTATAAGTTATATCATTAAATGCATGTGTAATAAATTTGTCGTATTTTTCAACCACTCACTCCATTTCATAATATAAAAATTAATTAATTTTTTAACATATAAGTTTAATCATTAAATGTGTTTTAAAATAGTAGAGTTTTTCTATTTTACCTTTACAAAAATAATAAAGTTATATTTTACACTTTTATTATCTCTCATCTCTTTCCTATATTTAATAGGAATAAAAGTGAAAAATTATATTAATTATTTTGACAAGATCACAATTTTTTTCTAACTAACGCCGTCTTATATTATGAACCGAATGGAGAGAGTACATCCTTATATTAATCATAATGAAATATTCCCTTTGGTCTTTATTATATAAACTTCAAATAACTAATTCGCTAAATAATAAATAGGTTAAAAATGTTTTTTTTTCAAATATGTCCTTGTAACAAATAAGAAAAATAATAAAAAAAAATGTGCGAAAAAATATGATAAGAGAGAGTATAGCAAATAAAAAAGAATAAATAAGCAAGGAAAAAAATAAAAAAAATTAGATCAATTAATGTTAAGATAAACCCAAATTGAAACTTATAAAATGAGCTATATCTCTTTTCTAAAACTGAAGCTTATAAATAAAAGCAGAGTGAGTAATTACTTATAGAGTTATAGTAACGAATTGTACATATGGGCAAAAGAGAGAGACTTACATTTTGGAATAAGCAATTAAAGTTGAGAGAAGACGACTTAATTATATTACGAAACCAAGAAGCATCTTAGAACATGATATGGTGGACCGGTTCCAAGAGTGGTGAGGTTTATCCGTTTATGTTATGATAACAAGGACAGAAGAAGGAGTATTTATTTACGTTAATTATTATATTAAATAGAATTAATAACGTCAAAGCAAGGTGTTAAAGGATGAAGAAGGACCTACCACCACCTCTTCCTTGGCTGTGCTCGCCGTTTGATGGGACATCGATTGTCTTCTTGATTTCTGCTTATTTGAAATTATAAGAAATATTTCTATTGTCATATTCATAAGTTACTTTTAGTATGTTTAATTATAATTAAAAAACTTTAAATATTATTAATTCTATTTTAAAAATTTAATAATATTTCAACTTTATCTATATACACTTTTTTTTAAAAAAGATAACAATCCGATCATGAAGAAAGAATAAAATTGTACTTTCAATCATGTTTTTTTACAAGCATAGTACTTTCTATCATTAAAACTACCACTCAAAAAATATAAAATCGACAATAATATGCTATTGAAACAAGATGAACATAACATGATTTATTTTTTTCCCATATAAAAGAAAAAAATCAATTTCAAAAATATGAAAGTAAATAACATTAGTTAGAGCTGATGGACTGACCACCAACTTGTTGCTATACGGATGCAATTATAAGTTGTGGTTATTCATCAAACAGCTTCCTATAAAAACCCCAACAGATAACACTTCTCCGCTCTATCCTACAAAGAGCTCCAAGCACAGCCATGGCTCAACGCTTCATCCATGTCTTCTCTTCGCTTCTTGTGATTCTCGCAGCCATTGAAGGCACCAAAGCAGTCGAGTACACCGCCACCAACTCGGCCCTCGCGACCCCCGGCGGCCTCGTGTTCCGGGACAAAATAGGGGCCGCCTACGCCAGGCAAACAATGAACTCTGCAACCCAGTTCATATGGAGGATCTTTCGGCAGCAGAATTCTCCTGCAGACAGAAAGAACTTGCAGAGAGTGATCTTGCTCGTGGAAGACATAGATGGAGTCGCATTTGCAAGAGGCAACGGGATCCATCTCAGTGCAAGGTACGTTGGAAGCTTCTCAGGAGATCTGAAAAGGGCAGTGACGGGTGTGCTGTATCATGAGATGACTCACATATGGCAGTGGAATGGGAATGGTCAGGCCAATAGAGGGTTGATCGAAGGGATTGCTGATTATGTGAGGCTCAAAGTGTAACATCCCTTTTTTTTTTTTTAATTTGTTTGGGGACTTAGTACGGGTAATGTATATATAAAAATTATTATAAAATAAAAGAGAAGGGAAACAATATATTTATATGTAAAGATTAAATAGAAAATAAGAGTCTGAAATAATTAAAGAGAGCTATGTATAAATATTTAAAGATAAATAAAAAGGGGATCAAATATTTAAAAATATATATATTTAGGAAAGAATGATTTAAATTTTAAATGTACCATATTTGATAGGATTTTGATAATAATAAGAATAATAAGTTAAGATCAGATAAAGGGATGGAGTTTAAATTTTATAAATTCTACAAATACCCAAGAACCTAGTTTCTATCTCATTTGTGACTGCCACAATGCAAACCTGATCGCTCTATAGGTACCTTCTCCTTTGTCCTTCCTTTTCTTTTGTATTCCTTCTCTTTTGTACTCCATCCTTTTGAGCCAAACCATTAGTCCTCTTGTCTCTTGTTCTTTTTTTTTTTTCCTCCCTCACAGCAATCTTAACCGGCTTTCCGTGTCCTTTCTGCAATCAGCAAATCGCTGGCGTGCTCTTCTCTCAAAGGTATAAACATATGTATTATTTTCTTTCTCACACACTCCTTATATATATATATATATATATACACACACACACACACACACATGCGCGTCTCCCCACCGCTCCCTCTCTTTCTTTCCACAATTTTCCATCTTTAATATATATATTTGGATATGTCTTGATCACTTCGTACCTGTCCTATCATCAAATTGTACCCATGTATATATGTGAATAATTTAGTTGCACATGAATGAAATAAAACACGCATGACGTGAGCGATGATCAAAAGGCTTGAGGTTGGTAGAGTTTTGGGCCTTGTATCTAGTTACATATGTATATGAATGTTTAGGATAATTTAGTTACCTTGCCATATTACATTTTTCAAACTCACAATGTGAACAAATGGAATAAAATACATAACTGATGGTTTTGGATTAGAGATAACTTACTCCTTTTCAGCTGGTCATCGTTTCTTTCCCCAATACATATGTGTACATATGTACAACATCAATCTAGTTTATAAACTAAAATCTGTAGGTTTGAAAATTTCTAAAAAGAATTCAAGACCTTCATATAATTTATTATTATAGTGGACTAATTAAATTATAAAGGAATATGAATTTAAAAGAAGATTTATGTTTCCAGTGGATAAGTTATAAGACACTAGGATAACTTTGGAGAAATTTCAGTGTAGGTTTAGGATAGACTTTTACTAGTTCTGAGCTATATATATAAATATATTTATTAATATTATTGTATATATGTGATTCTTGTAGCCTCTCACGGAGAACCTTGGTTGTTAAAATTTCTGTTTAACTGCTTGTGGCTAAAGGATAACAGGTAACGTAGATTTCTACCTACTTTTCTTGCTAGTGACTCCTATGAGTCCTTTCATAAATATGGAATCTTTATAGACATGTCATTTATCGTTTTGAGAAAAGATTTGCTAGGAATCATGAAAAATTCTTCTAGATCTAAAAGCTAGCCTTGTGGGATGATTTCTGCAAACGATCCATATTTGATCTTACTGTTTTATAATTAGTTTTATCGTTTGTTGTTGATGCATGCTAGGTGTTGTGTAGTGATGCTACATATTGTGATTCGTGAGATTCAATCCTGTGAACTACTATACTATATGCCATTGCTGTGATATTTTATGATTATGAAATATAACTGTGAAAAATAAATATGGTGGAGGATTGCTGGGAAATTGTGTGACATTGTAACCACGTGGTAGGCCACCATATGGCGCTCTATGGCTGGCCCATATTACCAGGGCAGTAACCCTCGGCTTGCAACACTCCAAAGGTATCCCAGGGCAGTAACCCTTTCTGGAGGAACCCATGGCCCTTGTATGCTCTGCCGACTTTGGCCGGTCTGCATCACAGTTGTGGGAAGCTTGAGAGAGTCGATTATGACGTGGGTAGCAATTAGCCCATGGGTTCAGTCGGCAGTTATAAGGAGGTTATAAGGTGGAACTGGAAATCTAATATATTGTGATAATGTGACAATTATGATGCATTCTATTTAGTTTGAATATTATAACATAATGTGATCTTGAATGATATGCCTGTTTGCATGCTATTCATATGTTGTGGGAAACTATTGATTTTGAACTGTTAGTCCTACCTAGCATCTCGTAAGGGTACTAGTAGGTAAGGCGGGTAGGATTTATGTTACTGAGATAGTGGTCTCATTCCGTTACTTCATCAATTTCAAGTGAGAGCAGCAGGGGAGACGCAGTGGGGAAGGCACTGTAAGCGTGAGGTCACTTACACTAGTGACTGCGCTTCGATTCTAGAATTTATGTTTGGTTTACGTTTAATTGCCACCTAGGAGCCATAATGTTCTTTAGACTGTTAGTGGCTTATTTTGGACTTGTTATTACTACTAGACTGTTTTGCTTCTTTGCTATGGATATTTTTATTGATTGCTCTAAGGGTCTTAGACCCACAGCTGAACATTGCGGCAATTGCATCTGAATAAGTGGGTCATTTAGTAATGCTTTTCTTGTGATTTATTTTATATAATGTCTATGTTAACCAGGTATGTTGGGGATTTAAATAACCATGTTAGGGGTTGAGCTTTTTTTTTCCCTAACATAGTTAAGGCGAAGAAGTAAGTATGGTATTTTCTTTTTATAACCATGATATGTGCTTAGGTAGGGTATTTCTTTTTATATATCATGGTTATTCAGCGAACTGAAAAGAAAGTTAGGATTCTTCTTTTATGTACCTTAGTAAACATACGCATGTGCTACTTGTATATTTAAGTATGGCATAATTTTATGTGGGATATTGCACAAAGCTGGCTATGTACCGAGCCACTGGGTGAAACCTGGTCAGGGAGATAAGTGGGATCAAGGCTATGATGTTACTGCTAGTTTTCTGGATTACTGTAACAGTCTGAAAAATGGGTTTGTTGCAGGACTGAACAAGAAGATGAGGACTGGTTATAGTTACGACTACTTTAGGCAGCTTCTTGGGAAGCCAGTGGATCAGCTTTGGAGAGAATATAAAGCCAAATTTGGCAATCTGCGAGTGTCTTATATATAATTAATTAGCTTAGAAGAGCTTCTTAGTTTAGAAAGAACATATAATAAGATGATACGTTGTATCGTCATTTGTCTATGAAATGAATGCATACTATTACTGCTTATAATGGAAATGTCGTATGTATATATGTTGCTCCAGCTGTGTATGCTTTAATTTTCTGCAGAATGGACAAGTTTAAACTTTACAGTATGTATATACTAGATGTTTGCTTGATTCTTAATATAAATTGATTTTGAAATTATCCAAATCATTAAGTACGAAGGGGATCTTATGATGAATACGTATGCTCTGATCAAGCAGATGGCAGAAATACAGATAAACAATTGGATACACAGAAATTAAAGACTCACAGAAAGCAGAAACAACCTACACGTACGACGAAAGCAACCTTAGTTATGAATTAAATCAGAGCAATCAAGGCACCCACATCTTACAAAGAGTCACTCAATCCAAGGTCTCTTAGACCTATATTGGTCAAGATGTGGAAATTAAATTAAACTAGAGGACTTGGTCAACAAAACTATTCCATAGTTAGAACAGACAATATCCAAATGATCACATCAGAGAATCCTGAATCGGAAACCTTTGGTTAATTATTTATGACCACTGCGTTTTGGTTCAACGTTGTTGATTTTCACCCAAACAATACAAACTCTTTGGGCAGCAACCACGTGTCTGCAATACGAGAGGTATATCCTTGAATGAACACATGACGTGGCTGACTGATTCCGCGAACGCTGAGGTTTAAGTTTCGCACCTCCATTAAAATATTATCTACGTATAGATTTTCTTGTTGATCTTTATGATGATAAGGACCGAGGGAGTATTATTGTTTATGTTTTGCTTATCATCACTTTATTGAACACTCTAAACTCATCAGTTATAAGTCGTCCTACTCTAATCAGATCTGATTTGATTTTTTTTAATTTTTATTTATTTAAAATAATTATTTTAATAGGTATATAATCTAAAATAAAGATAACATTTAAATATCATTTTTTAAATAATTTTTTATTTATAAATAATTAATTAAAAATGTTAAATATGAACTATTCAAACTAGATCCGAAAGGATGCAGCCAAGTGGATCAAGGCACTAGATTGTGAATCCACCATGGACGGGTTCAATTTCCGCCTATCAATAAATGGACCATTTGTTACGCCTAGAACCATTTTTTTCTGCAAGTCATCTCAAGACTTTCAAACGCATTCAAGCCCGATTGAACATAGAAATCATAGATCCGGATATGATGAGGTGATTAGCACCTAAATCAGTTTCGTTTTATATTATATTATTATTCAAGAGAATTAATAATGTGAAAGTAAAGTATCAGAGGTTGAAGAAATTAAGACTTCGTGACGACCAATGAATGAATCATAATCTTCTTCTTCTTCTTTTTTCAAAAGGGTAGACAGAGCTACATGAGCATGAGCGTTCAATGATTCATTCATTCACTTTGAAGTGTGGATAATTTCTTATTTATAGAACATTTTTAAAACTTTATTTCATTTTTACTTATATGATATTTTGCAAAATTTATCAAGCAATTGATATTAATAATACCTCTCGGATGAATATTTTCCAAGTAATTATGTTACTATATGAAAGATTACCAGATGAGAAAGTAGAGATAAACTAATAGGAGAAGGACAATGAGGTTCCCAAAAAGGGAATTAATGATGGTTAAGCTCATGACAAATTTTATTGAAAAATGAGTTATAAATATCAATTTAAACAACTGTAAATACATGGGTATGACATTTACCTGGAAAAAAATAAATAAAACAATTTTTAAATATAACTTGCAATTTATTCCATTGGGCCTAAATACTGACAGTAAGGCCCAACCACCGCTTAGTAAACTCGGGCTCCTTTTGTGCTCATTTATTTTAAGCCCAAACAGCCCACCTCACAGCACCACGCCGTTGGCGCAGGGTCGGCGTCCCTGCTTCAATACGTGAAAGAATGGGAGCCGGATGCAGCGGCTTCAACGCTAGTGCTTTAAGGGAGTAGTTTTTTAAAAAATTCAAACTATGAGGACGTTTCTGAAAAATTCTTAGAAATGTCGGGCATAAATGTGTAATTTGTTTCCTTTAAACAACTTGGGTAATTTTAGGAAATAGCCCGGGCACATACTTGGCTAATGGCATCATGGCCATACCAAAAGCGCACACGCAAGCTTTCTTGGAATTAGCTTCCCCATGATCCCTCCTCCAGTTCCCGCTATGGTGTGATCTGCATAGTTTAAATAATAATAATTTTTTGGGTAAAAATAAAAATATTTTTAATAAATCAAAGTTAAAAAAATAATCTTATTTTGGATTTTGGCATCTTAAGATATTAAAAAAATATAAAGATAAAATTATATTACTCCTCCTGTCCTTAATATAAGACCCATTTAACTAATTTGATTAGATTAAGGAAGTTAGGTAAGTTAGTTAATTATAAGAAATGTGACACGTTTTTCCTAAAATACCATAATCATTATTCTTAATACCCCTATTCCTCTTCTACTTGATTATAGTTGAGGGAGTATCCATAGGGGTAATTTAGAGAAAATTGAAAAATATGATAAATGGGTCTTATATTTAAGACCAAAACTAACTCAACAATTGAGTCCTGTATTAAGGACCGGAGGAGTAAATATGAATAGTTGAATTCTAATATGAACTTATCAGATTCTCAAACTGAATCCCCTGCTTTGCCCACCTTCAATCTCAACTTTAATGATTGAGATTTAATAAATTATACTACTCCTCCGATCCTAAATGTAAGAGCCTTATACACACTAGTATAAAGATTTTATATTTAGGACCGGAGGAGTATTATTTTTGATCTTAAATATAATACTCTATTTATAAATTATAAACGAAATTATATATCTAGAATAGAAGGTAATATTATTATATATCAAACACTAGAAATAAATTTAAAGGGCTGCAATAAACAGAAATAGAGAAAAATTCATCTTATAAAATAATTCGTAAAAGCCAAGAATACCCAACTTGCGGACCAGAGATCCAAGCAGTTTGCCAAGTCAAGGTCAATGCATGGAAAATTCAACATGGCCGGCACCTGGTCCGTTGTCATCAATTACCCCCTTTCCTTTCGGGAAGAAGAAAACTTAAAGTACGACATTATTATTATTATTATTATTATTATTATTATTATTATTATTATTATTATTATTATTATTCAGCGTTAATAATTTTCAGTCAAAAAATTAATTGCTTTTTTTGCCAACGAAACAAAAATAATTTATCTTATTATTTTTGCCTATCAAAATTATAATATATATATATTTTATTTTAAAATCACCACCCTAAAATATAAAATAATTATTAAATTATACTTCCGTCAGTTTTTTAAAGAAAATAATTAAAATCAATTAAAAGTAATAAATATGTGAGAAATGAATTTTTTTAAAAAAATATGCCATTAAGGAGCAAGTAAGAGAAAGAAATAGAGCAGTAATGAGAGACAAAATATAAAAGAGAATGTAGTATACCAAGTTGTCAACCTTTTAATGGGTTAATACAAACTCTAATTCTCTAAATTTGTTCTCGTTTTGATTTTGATCCTCAAATTTCAAATTATAGATTTTAATTCTTCAAGTTTCTTTTCATATAAAATATTGATCTCTATAATCTAATAAAAAGTTGGATCATTTTGCCTCTTAAAGAATCAAAACCTATAATTAAAAATTTAAAGGACCAAAATCAAAATAAGACAAATTTGAGATACTAAATATTATGTTAACCCACCTTTTAATTAATGTAACATATAAATTTAATTATGAACAAAAATAAAAAAAACAAAGATAATTATAATTAAGATCTTATATAAAAGATGAAGATAGCTCGAATTACAAGCTCAAATAAAAGCTACATGTGAGCATTATTCTAACGTTATGAATAAAGTAACTTATTTTCCCTGTGTGAAATTAGAAATTAAACCAACTAGTGTCCACCTATGACAGCAGAAACATTAATTGAGCAGGCAGGTCGATGACCACTAACTTGTTGCGGTATGGACGCAAGTTGCAGCTATTCCTCAGACTTCCCTATAAAATCCCCAACACAACTTCTCAAATCAAATCATCAGGAAACACCTTATTATCCTTTCAAGAGCTCCAAAACACAACCATGGCCCGACGCTTCATCCATGTCTTCTCTTGGCTTCTCGTGATTCTCCTTGCAGCCAGTGAAGGCACCCAAGCTGTCGAATACACCGTCACCAACACCGCCCTCGCCACCCCCGGCGGTGTCGCCTTCCGCGACAAAGTAGGCGCCGCCTATGCCAAGCAAACAATGGACTCTGCAACGCAATTCATATGGAGGACCTTTCAGCAGCAGAATTCTCCCGCAGACAGAAAGAACGTGCAAAAGGTTAGCTTGTTCGTGGAAGAAAAAGACGGAGTGGCATATGCTATAAACAACGAGATTCATCTCAGCTCGAGATATGTTGGAAACTACAATGGAGATGTGAGAAGAGAAGTAACTGGTGTGCTATATCACGAGATGACGCACATATGGCAGTGGAATGGGAATGGTAGGGCTAATGGAGGGTTGATCGAAGGGATTGCTGATTATGTGAGGCTGAAAGCTGGCTATGCGCCGAGCCACTGGGTGAAACCTGGCCAGGGTGATAAGTGGGACCATGGCTATGATGTTACTGCTTATTTTCTGGATTACTGTAACAGTCTGAGAAATGGGTTTGTGGCAGAACTGAACAAGAAGATGAGGACTGGATATAGTGACGACTACTTTAGGCAGATCCTTGGGAAGCCTGTGGATCAGCTGTGGAGAGACTATAAAGCTAAATATGGCAATTAGAAAAGTGTTCTAATGGTGGGAAAATAGTAAGAGCTTATTAGTTTAAAGAATAAGATGATATATAAATGTAATTGTATCACCGTTTCTATGCAGGAAATGAATGCATCATATCACTGCTTATAATTAATGGAAATGTCTAACGTATTTTGCTTTACTTGACTAAGCTTTTTTGCTGAATTGCCCAGTTTCACTGTGTATATTATATTACTCCTCCGGTTCTTAATATAAGACCCATTTAACTAATTTGATTAGATTAAGAAAGTTAGTTAAGTTAGTTAATCATAAGAAAAGTGACACATTTTTCCTAAAATACCATAATTATCTTTCTCAATACCTCATCTCACTCTTTTACTTGATTATAGTTGAGGGAGTATCTATAGGAGTAATTTAGAGAAAATTGATAAATATAAGAAATAGATCTTATATTTAAGACCAAAACAAACTTAATAATTGGGTCCTATATTAAGGACCGGAGGAGTATTATATGTCGATAAGCTACCACTACAGCAAAGAAGAGAGGGAGAGATTTGAGAGCATGATCACAAGAAATCTGGATTGCCATTTTGCGTTGGAAAAAAAAAAAGGCCTTTAATCTCAACGAGAGATTATCATTACAAGTTACTGTTTCTATTCCATTATACATGTGCGGGTGAGTGGGCATGATGATTCTAAATTTAAAAATAAGCATTTTTTAGCACTTTCAGAGACGTCAAATAAGACCAGATCATATGAGATGCCTAAACCTGAAAGCAAGCTGCCAAGGGATGAAGGAAGGACCTTGCATTTATTGTGTTCATTCGTGCATAAAACATTGACAGTCCTCTTGAATTTATAATAGTTTCCTTTTCTTCCAAGCAAGCGTAAAATATCCCACCAGTTTCCGGGAAAAGTTTTTAAAAATATTATATCACGCCTGCACCTGGATTATTCTCTCAATTAGAGGGTCTAATCTGTTGATGTTTTAACGTTTTTTAAAAAATAATATAAAAATCCTTTAAATAATGATTAAGTAAACAGTTTGTTTGGTGAAAACTTAAAAATAATACGCTTTCTATTTTTAACTATTTATCACTTATTAAATTTTAAAATTAAATCATTGGAATAAAAATTGTCATCGTCCTATATATCCATCTATGTATACATATAGTTTGACTGATCTAACAATTTTGGACTAATTGTTTGTTGACTTGTTCCTTTGTGCTGTAATCCTTGACTTGGACTTGGACTTGGACGTCAGTTCTGTGTTTTCTTGATGCCCTGGACAAAAGGGGGCGGCAATATTAAGCGTGCTGTCTGGTTGACTTGATAAACCTGGTAGTTCTAGAACCGACAATGCCTAATTACGTTGATTAAAATTGATCTTAAATTTACACCCGCAGAAATTAAGTTTTATATCAGTAATAATGACTAATGATGACGCTGTTTGTGATAGTCTTTGGTTTCAGATCAGAACTTGGGAGGTCCACCCCTAATCACCATAATCAATAATATATATACATGAATTATCATAAACGATTAAGCAACTTCATCGATAATCACAGCTAAGATTCTGTTTTGTTTCTCCATATAATAAAGAAATAGAAAGATAGAAAGATTTCTGTTCTGCTCTTTTGTTAATGTTCTAGCTGTCTAAAGTGTAAATTGTCACAAAATGAACTGCTCTGTTCAATCTGGTTTTGGAGGCTTTTTAACGTACTGCTCTCCTCTGGAGATCTAATTTTCTCAAAGTTTACTTACATTCCTGAATTGTCTATTTCAACCATTTTCCACAACATTTATCTGCTAATAGTTTACCGGGGGGGAAAAAACGAACCAGAGAGATATAATTACTTCGAGACTTAAAAAGAGTGAAGCAAGAAACAATACAGCAAGTGTTTAGTATCCAGGAAGAGTGACAATTTGGACACTAAAAATGCCCTCACCAACCAGATTCTTGCATTCACATGAACTGACAATAAAAATATAAAGGACGACAGTATAAAACCTTGCTATGATTAGAATTCAGCCTTTCTATATGCATAGCAAAAAACCAAAAAGGATAGATCTTTAAGTGATACAAACACAGGAGTTATGTACATCATTTATTTGTTGGATTTTTGTCTTTTGTCTTTTTCTGGTGAGATGAACAATTAACTTCAGTGAAACACCAATCCTTAAAAAACATAATCAGGTACCGCAACAGCAGAATGCATCATGTTCTTCGTTGCCCTGACCAAATTTCTCAGTTATTCGCCTTTGCCTGGTCTATGTACAGTTCCTCAGGAAAACCTAAATCGGGGCGGAGAAATTCGAAGTAGGGACGAAGTCGGTCAGAGATGGATCTGGTGAAAAAAATTTGGACCATTTCTCGATTTGTGCGTGTCATCCTTGCGCAGGGGCCATGCTAATCTTCTCTGTATCGTTCCAATTTTATCGGATGTCCCCGAAGGGACAAACCGTGGTTTCTGCTTCATCCATATAAAGAATGAAACTGGAAGAATATTCGCGATGTGGGACTCGTACTGAAGCAACTGTAGAAAGTTGTGCCCAACGTTACGAGATGGGAGGATTCTATCTGTGGGAAATTCGCAGAGTAGCATCGTTACCAACGGAAGAACACAGCAAAGAGAGAGAGCAAAATACTCTCCAATTTTTTCAGTCACTGTATTGGCTCAAAACTAGCAGAAGTAACCGGGAAAGGATTCCGGCTCTGGATCTCTCTATCTCTAGGCCCTTCACATAATTGGGCTTCCCATACTCACATCTGCTTACAAGTAATAAAAGCACAGCCCAAAAAAAAAAAAAAACCGAAGCACAGCCGGTTAATGATGTTTATCCCAATATTTAGGTACTCTAAGACAGTATGTGTGATTCTTAGCAACTTCATTTTTTTAATTATTTCAGAATTTTGACCCATATTATGTTCTATATACAATTTTGTTCTCATTCTTCCAAGTATAGAAGAGCAATTTGAAAAAACAAAAAATAGAATCCTGACTTGGAAAATGAGGAGCTCCAACTTACGAGTGTAAAATCTTAATTTGGTATTTCAAAATAGCTTTTATTTTTCAAATTCAGCCCTGGAGATGAATAATTCTTAATATGTTTATAAGGTTACCAAGATTCTTCCAACAATTGAAAAATCCTCATGCACCGGACCATTAGTTTTCAGGAAGGAATGTAATTGCAGCAACCGAGCAATAAACAGAAGAGTGGAGAAAAAAACATTCTTATGGCTTTATCAAGGTGACCAGATTCTTATGCATTTACATGAACAGACAATAAAATTCCGAAAGATTTTATTATTAAGCACAAAGCTTACTCCGGAAATGTTTGGTTTAACGCTGGAAACCACGTTTTGATAGAATCAGTGAAACCAAGTGCTCAACAGCAAAACCAAACATTTAAGTTATAGAAACCAGACATTGCTATGACCAGAACTGCCGAATAGCTGCAACAACTTCCGCAACTCCTTCAAACTTTCTTCTCTCCTTGAGAATCATCTTAGTAAAATCAAGCGGTCGACGTTCGCAGCTGGCTCGTTTCCTAGCATTACTGATGGATTCAAAATCTTCAACATGTGACACACCAACAATTATACAAACATGGAAGTTATACATCATAATGGTAAAAATAAGAATGTCTTTAGTGTCACCTTATCATTTTAGCTGAACCAAATCCAAGAGTGTCATGAAAAAGATCTGCCATGTGTCTCTTCTGTGCAAGCAGCAGAACCTCGGCATTGTCATAGATTGAAGGAAGATAAGCCTCGCCAGGACCCTTGCTATGCTCGTCCCAAAGTGTAATGAATCTATCATGAAAAAGATTCCAACAGTCTTCAATTGTCTTAAGAATCCACTCTTTATATGCCTGCATGAAATTCTGTGCTTAAATCCTTTTCTCCTTGCGGGCCAGAGACCTAACCAGTTTGCCAAGTCAAGGTCAATGCATGGAAAATTCAACACGGCCAGCACCCTTCCGTTCGGGAAAAAGGAAAATTAAAATGCAACATATTTTGTTATTGTTATTTAGCATTAATAATTTTTGGAAAAACTAATTTGGAGGTCCTATAATTTTGTTCAGTTTTTAATCAGGTCCTCCAATTTTTTTTTCTTTTTATTGAATCTTTTAATTTTGTGCTGTTAGATTCGTTAGTCCCTACCGTTAAATAAGGTTAAACACTGTTAAAAATTTCCATTATCTTCCCATTCCCCACCATTCTCGATCTCACTGTGTTGTCCTACTTCTTCGGCCATGTCCCGTCTCTGCAATAGCAAGAAGACTCGCGTCTCTGATAATGCGAGTCCATGTATGAAGCTGGTTCATTAAACTCATGAAAACCTCAAAATTTCAGCTGCATCCCCCATTTGTTTATTTGATATATTTCTTCATCTCTCACACTTAACTATTTCCCTCACACAAGCTTCCCAACCGATACATTTACATTATGAAGACAATCTTGAAGATGGGAAGGTGGGAGAGATCGGAAAAAGAAATAAAAAGAGAAAATAGAGATAAGGAGATCGTGGAGGGAGATCATTTGAAGACTTCAAAATGAGGTTCCTTGAAGAGTAATATTTTTCTTAGATTATACAGAGAGCCAATACAGAGTGGGGGGGGGGGAGGTTGGGGATTGTCTTACTCTAAGAGATCAGTGATGAACGATTCTTGTAGGATTTTAATGTATACTACTTCCGATTCTAATTATAAGAGCTAATTGACTAATTTGAGGAGATTAAGAAAATAAGTTGCGTTAGTTATTTGTTATAAATAGGTGTTGTATTTCCTAAAATATCCTTGCTAATCAAGTGTATTGACTAGAATTATCATTGTTAGAATGACTATTTTGGGAAAAAATGTATAAATATGAAAGACAAAGTGGATTGGAATCATATATTTAAGACAAAAATAAAAGTCAAACAAGATCTTATATTAAGAAGCGGAGGTAGTATTTTTTAAGAGCATGGTTTGCTTTCCAGGAGTTGTGTGAGATAAGGATATCAGAATCTCATTGCTGACAAGACGAGCAGAGATACTACGGAGAGGCGGGAAAGTTGGGAGAATGACGGGGAAGGTGAAGGTGTAACGAAAATTTTAACGGTATTTATCTTTATTTAAGGGCGGGGAGTAACAGATTTAACAGCACAAAGTTGGAGGATCCAATAAAGAAGAAAAAAAGTTCAAGGACCTTATTCAAAACTGAATATAACTATAAAGACTTCCAAAGTAATTTTTTCATAATTTTTCAGTGAAAAAACATAATTTCTTTTGTTATTTTTTATCATCAAAATTATAATATATATCTTTTATTTCTAAAATCACGGCCCTAAAATATGAAATAATTATTAAGTTATATTCCTGTCAGCTTTTTTTTTTACTCAAATTATGTGATTCAAGAAAATAATTAAAATGAATTAAAAGTGATAAATATGTCAGAAATGATTTTTTTTTTTCAAAAGTATGCTTTAAAGAGCAAGTAGGGGAGAGAGAGAGAAATAGAGTGTAATGAAAGAGAAAGTATGAAAGAAATGTAATATGTCAAGTTAAATGTTCAGACAGCTATAATTAAGATCTTATATAAAAGATGAAGGGACTTGGAATTACAAGCTCAAATAAAAGCTACATGTGAGCATTATTCTAACGTTATGAATAAAGTAACTTATTTTCCCTGTGTGAAATTAGAAATTAAACCAACTAGTGTCCACCTATGACAGCAGAAACATTAATTGAGCAGGCAGGTCGATGACCACTAACTTGTTGCGGTATGGACGCAAGTTGCAGCTATTCCTCAGACTTCCCTATAAAATCCCCAACACAACTTCTCAAATCAAATCATCAGGAAACACCTTATTATCCTTTCAAGAGCTCCAAAACACAACCATGGCCCGACGCTTCATCCATGTCTTCTCTTGGCTTCTCGTGATTCTCCTTGCAGCCAGTGAAGGCACCCAAGCTGTCGAATACACCGTCACCAACACCGCCCTCGCCACCCCCGGCGGTGTCGCCTTCCGCGACAAAGTTGGGGACGCCTACGCCAAGCAAACAATGGACTCTGCAACGCAATTCATATGGAGGACCTTTCAGCAGCAGAATTCTCCTGCAGACAGAAAGAACGTGCAAACGGTTAGCTTGTTCGTGGAAGAAAAAGATGGAGTGGCATATGCTACAAACAACGAGATTCATCTCAGCTCGAGATATGTTGGAAACTACAACGGAGATGTGAGAAGAGAAGTAACTGGTGTGCTGTATCATGAGATGACTCACATATGGCAGTGGAATGGGAATGGCCAGGCTAATGGAGGGTTGATCGAAGGGATTGCTGATTATGTAAGGCTCAAAGCTGGCTATGCGCCGAGCCACTGGGTGCAACCTGGTCAGGGAGATAGATGGGATCAAGGCTACGATGTTACTGCTCGTTTTCTGGATTACTGTAACAGTCTGAGAAATGGGTTTGTGGCAGAACTGAACAAGATGATGAGGACTGGTTATAGTGACGACTACTTTAGGCAGCTCCTTGGGAAGCCTGTGGATCAGCTGTGGAGAGACTATAAAGCCAAATACGGCAATTAGGAAAGTGTTCTAATAGTGGGAAAATAATAAGAGCTTATTATTAGTTTAAAGAATAATATGACACATAAATGCAACTGTATCACTGTTTATCTGCATGACATGAATGCATGATATTACTTCTTATAATTAATGGAAATGTCGAACATATAATGTTGCTTCACTTGACTAAGCTTTTCTGGAAAATTGCCAAGTTCAAGTTTCAATGTATGTATTATACCTTCGGTTCTAAATATAAGAGCTAGTTGATTAATTTGAGCAGATTAAGGAAATAAGTTTAGTTAGTTATTTGTGATAAATATATGTTGTCTTCCCCAAAATAGGTTTGCTAATCATGTTTATTGGTGATAACTACCATTATTAAAAGGGCTATCATAAAAAAATGAATAGATATGAGAGATAAAATGGATTGAGGTCTTATATTTAAGACCAAAATAAAAGTCAAATGAAATTTTATATTAAGGATCGGAGATAGTATTATACTCTTCTGGTTCTTAATATAAGACCTATTTAATTAATTTGATTAGATTAAGAAAGTTAGGTAAGTTAGTTATTACAAGAAAAGTGACACATTTTTCCTAAAACACCATAATCATCTTTCTTAATATCTCCTCTCCCTCTTCTACTTGATTATGGTTGATGAAGTATTCATAAGGGTAATTAGAGAAAATTAATAAATATGAGAAATGGGTCTTATATTTAGAACCAAAATCAACTCAAAAATTAGATCATATATTAAGGGCCGGAGGAGTATATCAATATCATGCCATTTTAGTAAGGGATGGAGAGATTTGAGAGCATTGATCATAAAAAATCTGGATTGCCATTTTGTGTTGAAACAAACACCACCTTTAATCTTAAGGGGAGATTATCAGTACAAGTTACCGTCTCTAGTCCATTATATATGCATGCGGGCGGGCGGGCATGATGATTCTAAAAATAAACATTTTTCAGAACTTTCAGAGACGTCAAATAAGACCAGATCAAATGAGCTGCCCAAACCTGAAAGCAAGCTGCCAAGGGATGAAGAAAGGACCGTGCATTTATTGTCTTTTTGTCTTCGGTGTCCTCTTGAATCTATAACAGGTTGCTTTTCTTCCAAGCAAGCGCAAAATACCCCACAAGTTTTCGGGTAAAATTTTTAGAAATATTATATCACGCCTGCACCTGGATTATTCTTTCAATTAGAGGGTCTAATCTAATCAGTTGGCGTTTTAATATTTGTTTTATAAAAATAATGATTAAGTAAACAGTTTGTTTGGTGAAAACTTTAAAAAATAATACGCTTTCTATTTTTAACTAGTTATCACTAATTAAATTTTAAAATTAAATCATTGGAATAAAAATTGCCATTGTCCTAATATAAATATATCATCAATATCCAACAATATATATATAATTTATAGTTTGACTTATCAAAGAATTTGGAGTAATTGTTTGTTGACTTGTTCCTTTATGCTGTAATCCTTGACTTGGACTTGGACTTGGACTTGGACTTGGACATGGACATCAGTTCCGTCTTTGCTTGATACCCTGGAAAAAAAGGGGACGGCTATATTAAGAGTGCTGTCTGATTGACTTGATAAACCTTGTGGTTCTAGAACCTACAGTACCTAATTACGTTGATTAAAATTGATCTTAAATTTATATCCGCAGAAATGAAGTTTTGTATCAGTAATAATGACTAACGATGACGCTGTGTGTGATGGTCTTTTGTTTTCGATCGGAACTTGGGAGATCCTGTTCTTACGTTTTCAAAACTTGCCACTCCGTAGGATATAGAATCATCACAAGCAACTTCATCATTAATCACAGCCAACATACTAATTTGTTTTTACATTCATGATCGAGATATAATAGAGAATTAGAAAGATAGAAAGATTTCTGTTCTGCTATTTTGTTAATGTTCTAGCTGTCTAGCAAGAGTTTAGCATCCAGGAAGAGTGGAAACAATAAAGGTTCTGATCACTTCACAGATATTCTCACCAAACAGATTCTTGCATTCACATGAACTGACAATAAAAATAAAAAGGATGACAGTAACCTTGCTGCGACCAGCTAGAATTCAGCCTTTCTATATGCATAGCAAAAAACTAAAAAGGATAGATCTTTAAGTGATACAAACACAGGAGTTATTTACATCATTGTGGTGAAATTTAAAATAAGAATCTCTGATCTTTGGTCGTACCTTATCATTATGGCAGAACCAAATCCAAAAGTTTCATGAAACTGATCTGCTGCGTAACTCTTTCTGCAAATGATGTTGAACTTAAAAATCGACGGAAGATAGTACTTCACCAGTACCCTTTTTATGGTCCTCAGTGAACTCGTAGTGGAAATAATTCCAAGCGTCTTCAAAATTGCCTTAAAAATCCACTCCTTGTACTCTAATAAGCAACTGCTATAACTTGACTGAAGGGAAAATTCCATCTTCATAAAGGTGAAGATAACACAATGAATGAACACTGAAGTAGCAGCCAAAGAAGAAATCAAAGTGAGTTGCAACCAAGCCATGTTGCTGGAGTTCGATTGGAAGAGTCCACAGTCATCTGAAAGCCAAGAAAGCACATTGATCCTGAACCTGATATTATAAAACAATATCCCCAGGATTGCTGTAGGTTCCCATAAACCCAGAACGAAAATCCAATTAAGAGCACCAATTTATTTGCTGGACTTTTCTTTTCTTTTGTCTTTTTCTGCTGAGGTGAACAATTAACTCCAGTGAAATATCAATCCTTGAAAAACATAATCAGGTGCCGAAACAGCAGAATGCATCATGTTCTTCGTTGCCCTGACCAAAATTTTCAGTTATTCGCCTTTTCCTGCTCTATGTACAGTTACTCAGGAAAACCTAAATCGATGCGGTGAAATTCGAAGTAAAGACGAAGTCGGTCAGTTCAGAGATGAATTTGGAAAAAAAATTTGGACCATTTCTCGATTTGTGCGTGTCATCCTTGCGCAGGGGCCATGCTAATCTTCTCTGTATCGTTCCAATTTTATCGGATGTCCCCGAAGGGACGAGCAGGTGAGTGGGCTTCATATATATAAAGAATGAAACTGAAAGAATTTGCGCGATGTGGGACTCGTGCTGAAGCAACTCCATAGCCGATAGAAAGTTGTGCCCAACGTCACAAGACGGAAGGATTCTATCTGTGGGAAATTAGCAGGGTAGCTTCGCTACCAACGGAAGAACACAGTAAAGAGAGAGAGCAAAATACTCTCGAATCTTTTCAGTCACCGTATTGGCTCAAAACTAGTAGAAGTGACTGGGAAAATATTCTGGCTCTGGATCTCTCTATCTCTAGGCCCTTCACAGAATTGGGCTTCCCACACTCACATCTGCTCACGAGTACTAAAAGCACAGCCAAAAAGGGAGGGGGGAAAAAAAAAAACCGAAGCGCCGCCTGAACGATAATGATGTTTATCCCAATGGATACTTAAAGACAGTATGTGTGATTCTTAGCAACTTAATTTTTTTAATTATTTCAAAATTTTGACGAATATTGTGTTCTATATACAATTTTGTTCCCATTCTTCCAAGCATAGAAGAGCAATTTGGGGGCCCAAAAAAAAAAAAACAAATCCTGACTTGTAAAATAAGGAGCTCCAACTTACGAGTGTAAAATCTTAATTTGGTACTTCAAAATAGCTATTGTTTTTCAAATTCATCCCCGGAGATGAATAATTATTAATATGTTTACAAATTTACAAAGATTCCTCCAACAATTGAAAAATATTCATATTCACCGGACCATTAGTTTTCACGAAGGAATGTAACCGGTGTCTAGAAGACGAGAACAAAAGCCAACGGTGCATGTATTTGCACAACCAAGCAATACATAGAAGAGTTTTTTTTCCAAAAAAAAAAAAAAGAAAGGCATTCTTATCCCTTTATCAAGGTCTTCACCAGACCAGATTCTTATAATTTACACGAACAGACAATAAAATTCCGAAAGATTTTATTATTGAGCACAAAGCTTACTCCGGAAATGTTTGGTTTCACGCTGGAAACCACGTTTTGATAAATCAGTGAAACCACGTGCTCAACAGCAAAACCAAACATTTAAGTTATAGAAGCCGAAACATTGCTATGACTAGAACTGCCGAATAGCTGCAACAACTTCCGCAACTCCTTCAACCTTTCTTCTCTGCTAGAGAATCATCTTAGCAAAATCAGGCGCTCGACGTTCGCAGCTGGCTCGTTTCCTAGCATTACTGATGGATTCAAAATCTTCAACGTGACACACCAACAATTATACAAACATGGAAGTTATACATCATAATGGTAAAAATAAGAATGTTTTTAGTGTCACCTTATCATTTTGGCTGAGCCAAATCCAAGAGTGTCATGACACAGATCTGCCATGTATCTCTTCTTTGCAAGCAGCAGAACCTCAGCATTGTTATAATTTGATGGAAGATAGGCCTTGCCAGGACCCTTTCTATGCTCGTCCCAAAGTTTAATGAATCTATCATGAAAAAGATTCCAACAGTCTTCAATTGCCTTAAGAATCCACTCCTTATATGCCTGCATGAAATTCTGTGTTTAAATCCTTTTCTCCTTTAAATGATTAATGTGACTAATGCATGCAAAGTTGCATCATGTAATTTATCCCGTTATGCTATGACAATAAATTGAGTAAAAGAAAATTCCACCCTAGACATGGTGAGGATAACACAGTGGAAGAACATAAAAAACCAGTCAAGGAACAAATCAACGCAAGTTTCAATTAAGTCATGCTGCTAGTGCCGGCCTAAAAGAGCGTCAGTTATCTGAATCCACAAAAAAGAATACTCCTATGTCAAACCCTATTGGTCCATAAAATGCAAATTCTGCATCAATGACTTGAGTTGATTCCTGAGTAACCATGACAGAACCGGTCTGTAGATCTCAATGGATCAGTGCTTGGGTCCTCTCACAGAACCTACAGGAATATAACTTCTCATTAGAGCAGAAACTAAAGCAATATAACAGCTGCATGTAATGGAAAGTTTGTCCTAGTCATGATACTTGGATTTCAGCCCACCAACTTCAAGCGTCAGCAGACTTGTCTTCTCGAACGGCCTTAGCATCATGATCGAGATAAGAAGCAGTCCAGTGATTAAATTCAGAAACTCTAAGGGTCAGAGAAAACAACTAGAGCAGTATGCCTACACCACTCCACATTCCCACAAAATTTGGAAACTGCATTAAGACAATATGCATTTAAGCTTACAAGAAATGTATCAAGTCTTAATGGTCCATCTATAGTCAGTTATATCACCAATAACAGATTAAAAAACAATTATAATCTTATATTAACAAATGAGTTTTTTTTTTTGGGTACCACTTGTCTAACGCAAACTATGAGCAAAAGTAAATTTGTTAGTAAGCACAAATAAGCAATGTACACACAACTGAACAGTTAGACCCCGAGTTGCAGTATAACATTAGCCTACATGACCAATAAGGACTCAATCAACTTTTACGCGCAGTATCAGATATAAAAGAATCAGAACCAGGTAACTTTATGAGCACAGCTGCGACAGTTCTTCAAGTGCCAGAACCTCAAAATATGCTGTGTCCTTCGACGTGGGCCTTGATTCTTCTATACAACGAATATATGGAAGAGCCTGTACGGTTGCACAATTGGAGTGACTTCACTCTTTTTAGCATATTGTTTTCTTGCTCTTCGAGGAAAGCAATCAGCATAACTAATTGTCTACCAAAAGAACTTACTTCGTGAACTAACATCCAATTGGTTTTTTCCAGGTTCAAGCCGCAAACAGATAAATCATTAAGAGAGAACATATTACAGTGACTGCGATTCTAGGATGGAGAAAATAATTTGGACCATTTCTCGATTTGTGCGTGTCATCCTTGCGCAGGGGCCATGCTAATCTTCTCTGTATCGTTCCAATTTTATCGGATGTCCCCGAAGGGACAAACCCCGACTTGTGGTTCGCGTATATAAACCATAGAGCTGAAGATGCTTGCACGATGTGGGACTCGTACTGAATCAACTCGACAGCTACAGGAAAATCGTGGCGTTGGGGAGGAATCTCTTTGTTGGAACCTCACAGAGCAGTATCAACAAACACAGACTGAGCAAGGAGAGAGAGAAAAATATTCTGGAAGCCTCTCACTTGCAGTATTAGCTCAGGACCAGAGAAAAGTAAAAGTGAGAGCAGCGCTAATATCAATGCAGAGCACGGCATTCAGGTATATGTGAAACGACAGAAGTAACAAATGAAACGACATCCAGCTATAAGTGGGCTCGGACTCTGGATTTCTAACTCTAGGCCCATTCTCATCATCGGGCCTCTCGGATCAGCCCTCCAAACAATAAAAGCCCGGCCAGAAATAAAGTTGGCATGCCTGAGTCGTGAGAGCTATCGTCACATTTTTCCATTTACTATAAGGAAATTTAAGAAAATAAATCACTCCATGCATAATTTGTAAATATTGTAATTTTTTAGTTAATCAGCAGTTACATTCGTTCTTGAATCAAATACTTCCTTGGATGATCTGTTGCATCTCTCTCAAAGCACAGAGTTTGCCCAATGCAACATATAACTATATTGGGGGGTCATTGTGATTATTGTAAACAACAAATTTTGATATTGAAAATTTAAATTTAAATATTGAGAAAATATTCTTAAATACTGATATATTAAATTTAATTTTTTTAAATAACGATAACTTTCATAAAAAAATCATTATCTGGTACTAACAATGTTAGTATTAGAGAATTGAAAACCGCATTTTAAAAAGGGTTAAAAAGCATCCAATATATCAAAATATTTTTTTAGATATATCCAGTATATCCAAATATTTTTTTAGATGCATCAACATCCTAAAGCATTTTTTTTACCTTGGTGCCAGATGCACCAAAAAATATTTTTGGATGCAGGACCGGGACGTACTTAAAAAAAGTACTTTAAGATGTTGGATGCACTAAAAAATACTCCACAGTGCCACAAGCACCTAAAAAATATTTCAAGATACTGGATGCATCACAAAATACTTTAAATTACTGAATGCATCTGAAAAAATATTTCGAGATGCTGAATGCATCTTAGTCCTTTTAAAAATTTAAGAGACTAAACTAAAATTTTATATAAAATTAAAGGATTAAAAAACTGCACTTTTGTTATAAAAAAAAAAAAGTATACGAGTTACCAACAGGATTGAATTTAGCAGAAAAGACTAGTTCTCATAAGTAACAAACTAATATTCAAGTTTTTGCATAAAGGTGTGCTCATATTTAGTAGCTAATAATATCTCAAATAAAATTATCTTCAGTGAGAAAAAATAGTGCATGGAATTGTCTCCAATGACAAACAAACGGCTAGCAGAGAAACGCGGAACTTGCCGGGATAAGATCCACTTTTTGAAAATATGCCATTTTCGACACATACCACTTTGCATAATTCTGTCTGGTCCTCCTATCATGCCTACAAACTAGTCCTTTTCAATACTGGCCAATTAAATTGCCCATTATTCGTAGTTTCCCTCGAATCATTTCGTCCATATTTTATCACATGTTATGGATCATGTCGTAATTGCGTTCTTGAAGACGTAGTGGAACATGTCGTAATTTCATTATTGAATACTAAGCCGGCCTTATAAGATCCATGTTTTTAAATTTATATACTCCCTCTGGACTCTAATCCTGCTATAAAAATTAGTTGAATGTTAAATTTATTCTAAATATAATATCCTAATATATTTTATTTCTTATTTTTTTTTGCATATTAAATAATCTAATTTATAGGCTGACATATATAAAATATAATGTTATAGAATGGTGTTTTAGAAAGTTCATATTATATTTATTATAATTAACTAATTTATCTCGTTTTTTTATTTATCTAAATAATTTTTATGTTAGATATGAGAGGGGGTAAAAAGTATTTCCAATGCTTTAGCAACCTTCGGCTTGAATACAAACTATGAGTAGGGGTAGAAATAGGCTAAGCAGCCTGTCAAGGACCTGTGACCTGGCCTGTATTTGGCCTAACTTGTTTCAAAATAGAAGAAGACTTAAATTTTTTTGATGGCCTGTTTAGCGTAATAGGCAAGGCCAAGATTTTTTGAAAAACCTATTAAGCCTATCACGCCTTTTTTTTTAAAATCTTATTTTTAATTTTTATTTTGTACTTCTATCTAGTCTTATTTTAAATTTTAATATATAATTATAAATTGTTTTCAGTAATATTAACTATAATTAAGATTTAAAATATTACTTATGACATTAAAATTTAAATAAAAGATGATAATAAAAAAATAATTATTATGTAGTATGTGTATTTTACATTCTTTATTAGCCTATGTATTTTTTACTATATATTTTGAAAATTTTAAAATTACAGACTTTTTTACAGATCCAGGCCAGGCCAAGCCTTTATACAGGCCAGGCTCATGTTGAAAAAAAAAATACCTATTACAGGTCACAGACCAGGCTCAGGCTAACACGTTACTAAATAGCTTGTTAAAGACAAAGTCTGGACTGTTTCCATTCCTAACTATGAGTATCAATATATGCTAGAGTACTTTAAACTTTGCTTTTTATTATATTTATATATTATCTTTTTATTAAGAAAAAGAGTAAAATATTATTTTGGCTCCATGTAAAAACAAAAAATTAAAGGAGTGCATTTCTCGATTTAATGATCTTCAGCAAAATCATTTTCTATGTTTGATCTTCTATTAAAGTGTTTTTCAATTTTGTTGCTCGAGACTATGTTTTTAATGAGTTCCATTTAAAAAAAAAAAAAGAAATAAGTGGGGTTATAAAATTTTAATAGAGAAAAAAATGCAGAAAGAAAGAATAAAAAATTAGTTAACAACTTTCAGTGCTACTTCTCTCATTTTTTGAAAAATCAAAGTTATTAAAATCTCCCGCGAGTTTGCAATATTTTACTCTCACTAGATTTATTTCTAAATATGTAAGATATCATGCTCCAAGAATGAAGAGGTGCATATATTTTGGTGAAAATTATTTCAAGTTGAAATTAAAATTTTAAATGAAGGTCCGTGTTTTAATAATTTTGCTTAAGAATAACTAAAAGAAATTTAAATCTAAAATGGGCAATCCTTATGAGAAAACCAAGACAGCAATTAACATTTAACAACATGCATGCATGTCATATTTCCATTACAAACGGTCATCGGCATCCACACATTTATTACACACCCAAATGATGGTATACATATACATATACATATACATATATCATCTTATCTTATTCCTTATTTAGACAAACACGCCCTTATATTAAGCTGTTTATTGCAGATCAACACTTCCTAATTGCCGTATTTGGCTTTGTAGTCATTCCACAGCTGATCCACAGGCTTCCCAAGGATCTGCATGAAGTAATCGTCACTGTAACCAGTCTTCATCTTCTTGTTCAGTTCTGCCACAAACCCATTTCTCAGACTGTTACAGTAATCCAGAAAATAAGCAGTAACGTCATTGCCATGGTCCCACTTATCTCCCTGACCTGGCTTCACCCAATTGCTTGGTGCATAGCCAGCTTTGAGCCTCACATAATCAGCAATCCCTTCGACCAGCCCTCCATTAGCCTGGCCATTACCATTCCACTGCCAAATATGAGTCATCTCATGATACAGCAAACCAGTGACTTCTCTTCTCACATCTCCTGAGTAGCTTCCAACGTATCTTGAACTTAGATGAATCTCATTATTGACAGAATATGCCACCCCATCTTTGTCTTCCAAGATGAAGTTCACTTTCTGCACGTTCTTTCTGTCCGCAGCAGAATCTTGTTGGAAGATCCTCCATATGAACTGAGCTGCAGAATCCATTGTTTGCGTGGCATAGGTTTCACCTATTTTGTGACGAAAGAGAATGCCACCACTGGTTGCAACATTGTTGGTGATAGCATATTCCACTGCTTGGGTGGCTCTGATGGCTAACAGAATTAAGAGTACACAAGAGAAGAGAGGGATGATGCGTTTAGCCATGGCTGTGTTTGGAGCCAGCTCTGATCTTGTACTTTGGTGATTAGAGAAAGAGCTAAGCTGGGGTATTTATAGGGGAACGTCTGAGGAATAATACCTACAACTTGCATCCTTATCATCTTAGAATAATGTAGTAGGCATCTGAGTCACCATCTGCTAGTGACAATATAGCACAAAATCGAAGATTTTCATTCATCTCTTTCTGGACACGGGAGCCACAAGGTAGAGAAGTAAAACTATAAATAATCTTTGAATAATATAGTAGGCATCTGAGTCATCATCTACTAGTTACGGGAGGACAAAAAACTATAGTATATCAGTATCTACAAGATTTGCCATATTATCTTTGATTTATCAAAAATGCGATGATGGATATTCCATGCAAAACCAGAGAAGGAGAATTAGGGAAAAGACTTTGGAATGTTGCTTGATTTCACATGAAGATGATTCCTTATAAAAATGCATTTTTGGAATGCGTCTCAGGTTCAATCTCATGAAAATCCTACTCCTTGATAATCAGATTCTACCTCGTAAACACTTCCATAAAACTTAAGCTTTAATTATATATACCAGAAGAGTAACAAAGCTGTAAAAAAGTTGCAAGGGTTCACATGTGAGAGTAAATCCTTAATAGATGATTATGGAAATTATACGGAACACTAAAGCCAAAATTGTGTCAAATAAGATTTCCAACAATTTGAGTAGTCTCACCTTATAATTTCAGCAACAACAAACCCAAGAGAATCATGAAACAAATCTATCACGCATCTCTTCATTACAAGCAGCTCAACCTCAGGATTGTCATAGATTGCAGGAAGATAAACCTCCCCAGGACCCTTTATATGCTTGTCCCAAAGAGCAATGAACTTAAATAGTTTTTTCAAAAAATCCATGTTTGCTCATTTGTTCCAAGAAGGCACTCCTTATATGCCTGCAGGACATGGTGTGCTTAGAATCAATTGTCTAAGACTTTACGCATCTCATATAGTACAATGTTATCACCTCTTCAATTTAAACACCCAGAGTTTCTTGACAACAAAAGTAGTGACTCATTGGATAATGAAGCACATCACGCCCAAGACAGAAATTGCACAGGATTCAAATCTATAATCATGCAAGAAGACAGCATCTCGGAAAATTATTAGATGTTTACATTCTTGAATTGTCCATTTCAACCATTTTCTAGAACATTTATCTGCTAATATACTTCTGCAAAGAAAACTACTTTGAGACTTAAAAAAGAGGGAAGCAAGAAACTATACGGCAAGTGTATAGTATCCAGGAAAGAATGTAATCAGTGACTGAAAGAAAAGATTATGCTGACATTCGTGCAACCAAGCAATCCACCGCAAAGTGAAAACAATAAAGATTCTGATCACTTTACCAATATCCTCACCAACTAGATTCTTGCATTCACATGAACAGAAAATAAAAATATAAAGGATGCTAGTATAAAACCTTGCTATGCCTAGATTTCAGGCTTTCTATATTCATGGGGGAAAAAGAGATAGTTCTTTAAGATAAACTTTAAATGATACAAACATGGGAGATACATATATACATATATAATATCATTGTGGCGAAAATAAGAATCTCTGATCTTTAGCTCTATTTGGCAGAACCAGATCCAAGAGTGTCATGAAACAGATCTGCCACGTATCACTTCTGCACATGACGCTGAACCTCAGGATTGTTAAAACTTGATGGAAGATAGGCCTTCACCGGTACCCTTTATATGATTTCACCAGAGTGCAATGAATTTCTAGCGGAAATAATTCCAAGTGTCTTCAATTGTCTTAAAAATCCACTCCTTATAGCCTACAATATAGTGTGTCAAGACATCCTTCAATGATAGGTACATCCTAGGGCTGTACAATGGAAAGACTGGACCAAACCAGAACCCAACGCAAAGTCTGGTCTGATTTTTGGTTGGGTTGGGTTTGGTAGTCTGTGGTCTGTTCCAGTCCAGTGGTCACCCGATGTTGGGTTGGACTGGACTTGGTCCACTAGACTAGTAGACTAGTCCAGGTTTCCAATTTTCTTTTTTCTTTTTTTCAAATTTTTTTCTTTATAGGAAGCAAGATTTCAACATGATAAATATAATTTAAGATAATAAAAAATACATATAATCATATAAAACTTAAGACTTCATCATATATACATAAATATCTCTAAAAACATTAAAATAAATTAAAGGTAACATCTAAATTATAAATTATTAAAAAATAAAAAATTCAACTCAACTGGACAGGACCAGTCCATCGATCACTTGGTCCAAAATCCAATCCAACCCGACCAACTAGTCTGGTCTGGTCTAGTCTAATTTCATTATATAGTTTATTTGGATTTGATTGGACCGGACCACTTCGGGTTGGATTGGACTGAACCGGACCATAGGTTTTTGCACACCCCTAGTACATGCCACGTTTCATTATGCCATACACTCTGATATGCAATGGCAATAACTTGACTAAAAGGAAATTTCTTGCCTCATAAAGGTGAAGATAACACAATGAATGAACACAACAGGGCAAGTCAGAAAAGAAGTCAAAGTGAGTTGCCACCAATTCATGTTGCTGGAGCTGGATTGGAAGAGTTCACAGTTATTGAAGCCAAGAAAATACACTGATCCTGAACCTGGTATTAAAAAATAAATACCCAGGATTATTGTAAGTTCCCACAAACCCAGAACGAATATCAAAGTAAGAGCACCGATTTATTTGTCAAAAGCTCTGGTAATTTATTGGAATTAACATTGTCTATGAAAATCACCAACGATATGATCGTTTTCCGCATTTATCGAAAGCAGTTCCTCAGGAAAACTTGAGTGAGTTAGTGGGAGGGGAGAAACTTGAAATCGGAACGAGGGAAAAAAATTTGGACCATTTCTCGATTTGTGCGTGTCATCCTTGCGCAGGGGCCATGCTAATTTTCTCTGTATCGTTCCGATTTTATCGGATGTCCCGAAGGGATGAGCCGCGGCCTCTGCTTCGCATATATAAACAAAAGAGCTGTTAGAGGTTTGCATGATGTGGGACTCGTACTGAAGCGACTTAGGTAGGCAAAAGTCGCGCCCAACGTCACTAGACGGAAGGCTAATATTCATGGGAACCTTTCAGAGTAGCATTACTGTCAACGAAAGCATAGATAAAGTAAAGAGAGAGACGAAAGTATTGTCGAAACTTTTCCGTCACTGTATGAGGAAAATATTTTGACTGTAAGCCCTCCATCTCAAGGCCCTTCACGTAATTGGACTTCCATACTCAAATCTGCTTAGGATGAAAATAGTGCAGACAGGCTGTTAGGAACCTGTAGCCTAGTTGTATTTGGTCTGGTTTGGTCTGACCTATTTTAAAATAGAAAAAGAGTGAGGTTTTTTCATTGCCTGTTTAGCCTAATAGGTCAGCTGGCCAAGCCTAGGCTTTTTGAAAAACCTGTTAGGCCTGTTAGGTCTAGCCTAACCTATTTTTTATTTTATTTTTAATTTTTATTTTGTATTTATATCTAATTTTATTTTAAATTTTGATATATAATTTAAATTGTTTTTAATAATATTAACTATAATTAAGATTTAAAATATTACTCATGACATTAAAATTTAAATAAAAGATAATAATAAAAAATTATTATTATGTCGTATGTATATTTATATTTTTTATTGGCCTATGTATTTTGTACTATGTATTTTGAAAATTTTAAAATCACAGGCTTTTTAAACAGGCTTAGGCTAGACCAGGCTTTTATACAAGCCAGGCTCAGCTAAAAAAAAAGACCTATTACAAGTCACAAGACAGGATCAAGCCAGGAAAAAAAAAAAAAACCTATTACAAAACCACAAGGCCAGCATGTTACTAAACAGGCCTGGGGCCTGTTAAGGACAAAGCCTGGTCTGGCCTGACCTGTTTTCACCTGATCTGCTAACAAAAACTTTTTCTTTTTTCTTTTTTTTTTCTGAAGAACTGCAAACAAGTACTTCAAACAATAATAAAAGCACAACCAAAAACCTACAAAAGAAGAAGCTAATCCCATAACATGGTAAACCAATATTCAAAATCCTACTAAAAGACATGCTTATATTTAATGTCCCACGGTATCTCAAAATAAAAGAATATATGTGCCTGTGAAATTTAAAAAAAAAAAAAAAAGGCACACCCAGAAAGCTGAGAATCATTATCCCGACACACCCACACACATCTTCAAAAGTTTTTACAGCGACTTTCAGATTTTTACAATATCATTTCACATTAAGGACTAGAAGTGGAAATGTTTTCCTAATGCCTTGCCTCATGTGGTTCTGTGTTCAACTCTGCTGGTGCCGTTTTTCACAAAATCGCGTGTGAAAAGTCACCTTTCCGCAGTATAGAGAGGAGGGGGTAAGGGAATCCTTGCAGAGTCAAGTTTTTGAGGTAACAGCATGAACCTGCCAAGCTCGCCCCGTGAATTTGACAACGTATGCATACTTTTGTTCACTATACTAGCTCATGTTTAGGTTTCATCCCATAGGCACCAATAAAGAAGAGTTGCAAGTTTTTTTTCCTCTAAAAATTTATTAGAAATTAAAATTCTTTAAAAAATTACAGAATTTGAAATTGAAATTGGCAATTCTTCCACACGCGCTCCATATTCCACATGCAAACGATTATGTGCACATATCATCGTGGCTATAGAAGGTCTTCTTACCTAACAGAACTTCCTAATTGCCGTATTTGGTATTCTAGTCTTTCCACAGGTTTCCCAAGAAACTGCTCAAAGAAGTCGCCACTATAACCACTTCTCATCATCCTCTTGTTCAGTTCTGTCACAGATTCATTTCTCAAGCTATTAAACTAGTCCACGGTTCCACTTATCACCCTGACCTGGCTTTAACCACGGGCTAAGTGCATAACCCTGCTTTCAGCCACACATAATCAGCAGCAGTCCCTTTGATCCTCCACTGCTACATATGCGTCATCTCATGATACAGCACACAAGTCTCCGCTCTTCTCCAGATTCTTGTTGGGAGGATTACGTGAAAGGATACTATTA